TGTTCAATGGAACGAAATGCCCGAAAAACAACGAGAAGAACTTGAAAATTCATTTCGACAAACCGGCCGAGTAGCTCGTTATACAAATATCATGGGCATTAAACGGTACAGAAAGAAAAGGAAAAATTCGTCAAAATAACGATTTTTATTTGATAGCTCATTATTCTCGATATGATAACAAATGATATTCAATCAATATTTTGTTATTCAGCTATATATAAAAGATTTGCATCAATGCTTAATTATTTCCTTCAACATTAATATATAGATTCGACCTAACCAACGTTATTTAAAAGTTCGAGATTAAAATGAATATTTATTTGAACCACAAAAACTTGTCGCAAAAGTAACAGATATTTATTTTAGGACCAACTTGTTCGTTCTGTTCTGTCCTGGTGGGTGGGAGGACAACAGCAGCAGCAGCAGGACTGTCCTGTCTTGTACTCACTCAACTTTGATTCTGACTATAATATGATACATTTTACACCAATTGAATTTCTTTACAATGTATTGAATTGATCCTATGCTATAACAGATCATCATAAATTTAGAATATATGAATAGAAGAAAAATAATTATATTAGTATTATTAATGACTCGTCATAATCTTCAAAGATACAAATCCATGTTATTAATCAGTTATACACATTTTTTTTTCAAGTAAGCACGAAATGGAGAGTCCATTATTAATTGAAGGTATTATTGATGAAATAATAATTGAAACATTAATTAATCATTCACAAGATAAAGAATCAGTTAGAAATTTTAAAAGATCAAATGAATATATAAATGGACTTGAACATAGAAAAGTTTATTTAAATGAAAATTTAATGATAAAAGAAAGTCATTGTGTTCGTTTAACATCTCGAAATTCTTATGTTTATAATGGTTTTCGAACAATTGAATTTACAGATGAATTTAGTCCAGAATCAGTTATTGCTTTACAAATTTCATTGCTTCCACAAATTCATCAATCAGTTATTGATTTAAGAGAATTTTTATGTCAATATTCAAATTCACCAAGCCAATTTAATCAAATAATTAAAAAATAAACATTAGTTGATCTTGAACATGTTCTTTATCATTGATTTGTTGAAGAACAAATTGATGGAGAAGGTTTTGATGTTTATTCGATACCTGATTATGGAAAATTTTCTTATTGTGATCTTCAAGAATAAATATCTGTTTTAGAAAAAGTTCTTTTACATAATGAACTTCAACATTCTTTAATTATTAATTTAAAAAAAGAAAATTGGTTAATGGATTATATTTCTAATAGACTTAAAGTTTATTTAAATACTAAACAAATTTGTTTTATTTTAATCTTAATTTTCAAAAAGAAAAAAAAAGTTTTTTTTTAAAATCCATTTAGTTAGATGAAAGATAGGGAAATGATTTTCAACATACAAAATGCTTATCATGTGTAATAATTTCAACATATTTTGATTTAATAATAACAGGTTCATATTCAATATTATTAGAACATGAATAATCATTAATGAATTCATTTATAAAAGAATCTTCAACATTTATTCGTGTATTAAGTCAAACAAGTATTCAATTAAGAAATATTTTAGAAAATGCACGTTTACTATTATTACCATCAAATTTACGTCAATCTTGACAAAGTCAAGGAATAGATGAAAAAAGATTTTAATCTATTCAATAATATTCATCATTAGCTGCAGATTTTCCATATTTTGCTGGTGGAATATGGAGAAATTGGGATAGAAATACATTTATATCATTAGATGCTCTTTTTTTTCTATTAAGTCAAGGATATATGAAGAAGATCATTATTTAATACTATCGTATGGTGAATGTCTTCGTCATGGTTTAATTTCCAATTTATTATCTGATGGAAAAATATTTGTTATAATGGTTTTGATGCTGTTTAGTAATGATTATATTCAATATCATCTTATACTTATATAGAATCTAATGGATATGAAATATTTTATGATAAAGTGCCATGTTTATATTCAAATGATGAAACTCTAATATAATCAATTGGATAATACGATCAATTGTTATATGATATTATAAAGGAAATTCTTCTTCATCACATTCAATTATTGAAATTTCAAGAACATGAAGATGAACTTTTCTTAGATTCCGATATGACTGATCAAAGTTTTAATAATGAAATAGATATTAATAGATGTACTGGATTTGTTTATAGTGAAAGTCGTTGGAATTGTGGAAGTTGGATGAATAAAATGGGTTCAAGTCAAAAGGCACTAAATAAAGATTATTCAGCAACACCACGTCATGGTTCTGCTATTGAATTAGTTGGATTATGTCGTGCAACACTTGTATGGCTTATTCAAATGAATAAATATGGACATTATCCTTATCATTCTATTGAAATATCTTCAGGTAATTCATTTTGTGGTAAGTGAATATTCATTTCATCACTATTAAAATCCACATTATATGATTTATATTGAGCATAATGTAATCCAAAGGTTTTTTTTCACCAGGTAATACTCGAGCCTATCATGAACATAAGAAATATAATAAACAATGCAAAAGTCTTTGGAAAAACGTTGAGCTACACAGTTTGACCATTTTAGAAGGTAGAAAGTTAAATTTTTTTATTAGAAAGAATTAGTGTCCTGCACAGATACGAATTTTCGGACTCGGACCGACAGTATTTTTTAATATCCGAGCCCGAATTAACCCCCACCATTTTACACCCAACAGGAAGTAATTGACATCCAGCAGGAGTTTTCAAAGTCATACTATGTTTTTCAAACTTTTGTTTCATATGACAAAATGTTCTATTATTTGAATTGCATCAATAAAAAAGAAGTAAGTGAATCAGGATTCAGTTGTTGATGTCACCAATCGCCGTATCGGGTCCAGGTATAAGATCATATCCGGGACCGAACCAATCCGGCAGGTATGTATTCGAACTTAGACTTTGAATCAGGCCGGGTACTTGATACTAGAGCCCGTCGGGTAGACCCGGACCCGGTCGGGTCTGGGTCCGGGTCCGGGTCCGGGTCCAAAATTTCCTTTTTATCGGGTCCGAATCCTAAAATTTTCTGTTGACCGGGTCCCGGATCCGGATCCGGACCTGAAAATTTTGCATCTAATGGATTTTAGTCAGAAACAAAGTTTAATTAAAACTTGATTACTACAAGATCATCACGAATGGTGACTATTAGAATCAACTATAAAAAAATTCCTTGAAAATACTAACAGTGTATTTAAAGTTCGGGTTCGGGTCCGGGTCCAGAAATTTTAATCGAGCGGGTTCGGGTCTCAAAAATTTTAATCGAGCGGGTCCGGGTCTCAAAAATTTTAACCAATCGGGTTTGGGTCCGAGTCCGGGTCCAAAATTTTTGGACCCGACGGGCTCTACTGGATACCCGGTCCGATTGCAGAACACTTGAAAAATCTGTATTCAATAGACTGAATACAATTGATTTCGCGATATCACTCGAAATTTCTTTCAAACATCCTCTATCATAGCTTGCAACATTTTTTGATCAAGTTATTTGATCTTTTGTTTGATGATTCAAACTAAATGATTTATATTCTTTCGAACGGTATATGATAATCTGTTAATGTTCATCCATAACAAAAATAATATGTGGCACAAGAGAACATTTGCACAATGATTTTGCAACTTCTATTGTGATTCTTGTAACATATAAGAAAAATATATTATTTATTTTGCGTGTTGATAATCCTTAAGAACTTAATGAAAAAATGTTGCCAGCTATGATAGAGAATGTTTTGAAGAAGTTTTGAGCTATATGATGAAATTCACTGTATTCAGTCCTATTAAATATAGATTTTTCTAGTATTTGTCATGTTCTTTTTAATAAAAAAAAATCAGTTTTTATCTTCGAAAATGGCTGAGCTGTATGGCTTGACATTTTTCCAAAGACTTTCACATCGCTTATTAATTCAAAATTTTAAAGAATAAATTTATCATATGAGTTTGTATATACATTGATCAATGTAATGTTGGTTGTCGATTAGCAAGAACATAAACATCAGTTCTAAGATGTTGATAAATTTTTTTTAATAGACATTAAAGTTTTATTTCCATGTTGTTTTTCTCTTGTTAATAAAAGTTTTGCAACAGCTGTTCGTTAAGATAAATTATTTGATAATAAACGACGAATTGTACCATTTTCAAGTTCAATAAAATATGATCTAAAATAAATCTTGTTTTTTATTTCGGAATAATTTCTTGTTTTTTTAGCCATACTCAGTATGCATATATGGTCCATTAAAAATTAATTGTTGTAATTCATGAACATTATGTAATGTAATTAATTCTGGATAAGCTAATTTTTTTTGCAAGTATTTCAGGAATTCCAACTTTATATGTAGCAATAAATGAATCAGGATATATGACTGATCGATTAGCATAATTTACACGTTTATCCATCATATGCATACGAAATGAACCTTCTTTTTTTTTCAATAATCTTTTATTTTTGAAAAAAATAAAATTTCTTAGAAGAAAAAAATATCGAGATATGACATACTTGTCGAATACTTTTTGCTATTCGATTATCACTTCGATTATCTAATGAACTATCAAATATAGAATTAATAATAATTTGCATTTTAAGCTAAAGTTTATCAAGTTTTTCTTCATTTGTTATATCACATAATGTATTAATTAAAAATGATGAACGATTCTAAATTAAAAGAATAAAATAATACAGTGCACGTCAAAAGTTTTTCCCCGCTTTGTATTTTTTAGTTTTTATCATTAGACCTTTTTAATTTATTAACTTTCTATATATAGAAAGAAAGCCCAGAACGCGCTGCATCTAATGGTATATTTACATTGAACAACAAGTACAGTTTGAAGTATAAAGAGTGTATTAGAAAAAGACGTGACATTTTTTTTCTGTAAAAATTGATCGAAATCTTAAAATGTATGAAGAGTAACTAGTTTTTAGGATAACTTTTGATTGAAACGAGATACAGACCTGCGGTTTTCACCGTTAGAAAAAAAACATAAAGATGCATCGAATTCTATACTCCGCATGTCTCTAACAAGTTTTCTTAGGGGCCTTAGCGCAGTTTTCTCCACAAATCGCCTGTTTCGTGCGTGTTGTAG